GATAATTGGGATGGGAGTGTCGGAGACAGTGCGATTGGCACAGGACAGAGTGGAGTTTAGGGCTGTTGTACATAGGGTCGCTATGAGTCGCAGGTGACTGGACGCCACATAACAACAACAACAACATGTAAATAAATTAAAATCTTTAGCATATAAAAAAATCATCATTTGTTGATATAGTATGACTCAAATGAGAAAATATATATATATTTTCACTAGTAATAATAGAGCCCAGCCTCTTGGATAATCTGTTTTGCGCACAGGTTGAAAAGGAGGTATGGAGACAGGACACACCCCTGGCATACACCCTTCCCAATTTTGAACCATGCAGTGTTTCCTTGCTCTGTTCTGATGACTGCCTCTTGGTCCAAGTATAGGTTTAGCATTGGCATGAGCAAGTGTTCTGGGATTCCCATTCTTCTCAAAGTCAGCCACAGTTTGGTATGATCCACACAGTCAAACGCCTTTGTATAGTCAATGAAACACAGATAGACATTCCTTTGGTATTCCCTGCTTTCAGTTAAGATATATCTAACATTAGCTACAATGTCCCTAGTACCACAACCTTTTCTAAAACCAGCCTGGACTTCTGGCAGTTCTCTGCTGATATGCTGTTCCAGTCATTTCTGGATGACCTTCAGTAGAATCTTGCTTGCATGTGAAATCAATGATACTGTCTTATAGTTTCCACACTCTCTTGGGTCACCCTTCTTTGGGATGGGAACAAATATAGATTTCTTCCAGTCAGTTGGCCAAGTGGTTGTTCTCCAGATTTCTTGGCACAACATGGTGAGCACATCCAGGGCAGCATCTGTTAGCTGAAATATGTCAATTGGTATACCATCTATTCCTGGGACCTTATGTTTTACTAATTCCTTCAAAGCAGCCTGAACTTCTTCCTTCATCACCATAAGCGCTTTCTCATGTGTTGTTGCATTAAATTCTTCTGTGTGTCACTTCCTTTTGATACAGTGACTCAGTATATTCTTTTCATCTTCTTTTAATATTTCTTGTATCGTTTAATATTCTGCCTAAAGCATCCTTGATTATAGCAACTCGGGGTTTTAATTTGTTCTTCAGTTTCTTGAACTTGAGAAATGCTGAATCACTTGTTATACGTCAGGGAGTTGGACAATGACTAGGGCTGATAGAAGGAGAGTTAATGCCTTTGCGCTGTGGTGCTGGAGAAGAGTATTGAGGGTACTATGGACTGCTAGGAAAACAAACAGTTTCATTCTGGAGAGAGTTAAACCGGGAAGCTCCCTGAAAGCAAGGTTTTTGAGGCTTCGTCTGTCATACTTCGTACATGTTGTAAGGAGGGACAGGTCCTTGGAGAGGGACATGATGCTTGGTAGGGTGGAGGGACAGTGCAGGAGAGAAAGGCCCTCTATGAGGTGGATTGATTCAGTGACTGGAATAATCGGGATGGGTGTATCAGAGACAGTGCGATTAACACAGGACAGAGTAGAGTTTAGGGCTGTTGTACACAGGGTTTCTATAAGTCGCAAGCCAACTCGACGGCATATAACAACAAGAAGAAATAAATAATAGGAACACTAAATATAGAGTGTGAATCTGAAAAAAAATGATAATTGTGAAAAAGTAAATGAAATGCATAAAGATGTATATCTTAGGCACAGTTGTTGCTGTTGTTGTTGTTGTTGTTAGGTGCTGTCAAGTTGGACTCATAGTGACCCTATGAACAACATATTTGAACCCTGTTTTAGCCTGTGACTTCCTGACACACAAAAGCAGTCCCTGTGTCCCTGTGTCAATATACCTAGTTAAAGGTTTTCCTCTCCTTTGTTTACCTCCACCCTTCCTAACATCATGTTCTGCTCCAAGGAATAGCCTAGAAACATGCCCGAAGTATGTGAGGCAAAGT